ATCAAATTTTGATTTATTGGTTATTCCAAATTCTACTCTAAATTCTGAACATTTTGAGACAAAAATCGTTCTATTTTGAAAATTGGTCTAGTTATATTTGTTTGAATTTATTTTCGGAAATTGGGTTTTTGAGAAAAAACTCTTCAAAGTCTTAAAATGTTTCCAACTTTTTTTTTACATAATTAAGGAATGAAACTTGACCAAAAATTAAAATGAAAAGCCCTTAGCAAATAACATCGCTTTTGTTTCTTAAATATGTTTTCAACTCGATTTGGCCTCTTCTGCGATTTGGATTCTCGCGACAAAGGTCTCTTATCTTTTTCCGCCTCACATAATACTATTACATTTATAGTAAAGTGTAAACACATTTACATTTAGCGAATGGACTTACTTTTATGCAGATCAAGGACAACGGCATTCCTTACAGATGAATTGTTGATTTTTTCGCGGATAGCGTAAGCGTTGCAATTTTTTTCCTCACAAACGAATAGTCTCTGTTTTCAAAATGGGTAATATAATATTTGGATTATGGCCTTTTCAACATTGGCGAAAGCCTTTGTTCGGTGAACCACCGTTTTAACATAATAACGGCGTATATACCTAATAAAGTCAGGCAAATGCATTTTATATACGAATTGCAACTAAATGACAGAAGTCTCCGAGGCCGTCTTGCATATAAAGACAGCGGGGTATTTAAATAACTCGTTTCGTTCTCCGGAGTACAAACATTATGTTATTAACAAAACATTATTATTAATATTTTGTATTATATAGTAGTGAACAATTACAAACATTTATTAGCATATAATAATTTTTGTTGTCAAGTTTTGCTATTATAGTACTTAAAAAAATAGCAACCTAATTACCGCTGTTTTACCCACACATAAGTTTTATAAACAGGTGAGTAAATCACCTATAATTTACTCAAGGTAAGGCAGATTTTAATTTTTTTAAATAGTTTAGTTTTATTTAGTTTACAACACAAAAATCAACTCAGTTTAATTTAAAGTTACCTACTTTAAAAAAAAACGATAAATAATAAGTTTTGTTCAGTCGTAGAAGTATCACATTAAAACCACAATTATTATAGATGGTCAGATTTTCAATTTTTTTTTAAAGTTATTCAATCGGTTAAAACTTTCTGAAAAAAAAATTCATTTTTTTTGTTAACTGTAGTTTTTATAATGAAAAAAAATAAATTTTCATGTAATCAATATATTTTTACAATATTGTCGAACTCTCGGTTCGTGATTAAAGGCTTTTCTAAAACGTTCCATTGGAATAATGCTCAAAATAATTTGATTTGGCTCATGCAAAAAGAGTCATTATCACTTTAATTTAATTTTGAGAAAATTAAAAAAAACTTCCTAGTTCTTTATGAACAGCAAAATCAACAAACCGTTTTCTAGCCCAGGAAATTCTGAATAAGATCCTTTCTTGTATTAAATGTTGAATCTACCCCCAAAAACTGAAAATCCGCGGTTAATTTGTTTTTGCCAGAAATGGGGTTAAGGGCCCTTTTTGTATGAACCAAATCATTTTTTTGTAGGGGTGGAATTCACAGTATTATTATTACTCGAAGCAATATTTTTCTGCGATGTGTAGGCAGAAGCAACGCCTTTATTTTCTTTGCTGGCATATTTTTAAATGAAATAAAGTATAATATACATATTATACACATTATCGTATCTACAAGAATTACGCAAAACGTTCGTTTTGTATCTACTATTTTTGTGTTTTTTTTTTAATAAATGATAATCTCAAACGTTTAAATTATTGTGTATTAACATTATGCGAGCCAAATTATTTGTTTTTATAACGTTTTATTTAAGTGAAATCTAATAACGGGCAACAACGGTCGGGGAATTATGTATCTATCGTTTAACTACTAATGTGACCAAACGATATTAAAATCGATGCCATTTAACGGATTTCATCCAACACTTAAGTGTTAACCCGAATTTAATCAAGTACACCTTGTCACGTCCTAATATGTGTGAAACTTTCCTTGTCTAATGATACTCAATTAATTTAAAACCATGTAAAGATTTTCAGCTTCAAAGCAATTTACGAAAGTTTACTAAAATGAATTTAACTTACCGTTAGTTTACATCAAAACTATTCGTTTTAACAATATTTAATGACAAACTATTTCTCATATTTGTTTGGTAAATAGATAATTACTTTTAAAATTATAGCTTGTAATATATTAAGTGTACGAACCAAATATTATTGTATAAGTGATAAAAGTATAAAGAGGTTAAACTAGAAAGTAAAACTTGAATTCCAAGTATGGTGTTTATACAATGGGTCAAAAAGGGTTAACTTCAATTTTAGTATAAATATTATTTAGTTACTTATCAGAGTATACATACATATCATTTTAATTACCTTTACACATTACCTACTGTCTTTGCATATTGCAAACGGCTATATTATAGTAAAATAATTGTACAAACATTATTAGTGCACTTTTTATCTACTCTTGAAAAAACCACACGTGTAAAACTCACGGCGTATCAAGAGTTGGGTGACATCTCAACCGGCGCTGTGGTAAAAATATGACGTTTAATCAAAGATTACAATATTATTTTTTATCATATATATTTTATTTATTATTATGGACAAATTTCAATAAAAAAAAATCGTCCTTTAAAAAACATGTAAATCCTCTTCTTTGTGTACTTTCAACGTGTAAACGACATACTTGCGACCTTCATCATACTTTTTGATCGTTCATTACATTTTATGTAGAAATTTCATTCTGTCCTTTTTATGTTCCGTTGGCCATCATAAAATTACGATTTACGTGTCCTCCGATATTAACATTTTTCTTAGAACTTATTTTTTCATGTTTTATATACGATAATAATGTATAATATTATACATCTATATTTTACTTTATAATTAAACTTGAATTTCTTATAAAGAGAGAGAAGCAACTTTATTTAAAAAAAATCAAGCGGGCTGCCTAAAACATAGGTTGCCATATAAGACACAGCATACTAGATCAATACAATAGTACATAACACAATTTTTCTTTTAACATTGATGGTAATAATAGTAACACAGGTAAACATAGATTCTTTAAGACAAAAATTAATAAATGAGTAATAAGACTAATAATCCAATAAATGGACGATTGAATAAAAAATACAACAATTACGTAGAATATAGGTGGAAATTGATAATATACAATGTGTCCTTCAGGACTAAAAGACACATCTTACGCAGTTCGTCGACTGCTAGACCGTTCGCTTTGAAGAATGAGACTAGCAACGACGAAGCTGTTCCTCTGGCCCCAAACCACAATCCGGTGACTTCCCAATGAGTTATGCCATAGCGTTGTATTAGGTATGGTATGCATGGAGTGTAGATTGTTTTTTTTTCCTCGTCAACTGATATATCTTGCCTATCGTCGTTCGTTTCCCATCGAATAGTGGGATCCAGAATAAGACCTCTACCCCTTCTTCGATCTAGGACGATAATATCCACTCTTTTATATAACAAATAACGTCTTATAATTATTAGTTAATTGTTTTTAATTTATTTCCACTGCTGTTATTCTTAATAATTTTGTTATATTATAAAAACTTACATGATTATATGTATTTCAAATAAAAACACTTTAATTTTATGATAATGCACGTAACACAGCAACTGAAAACATGTAAATGTGTTACTGTTGCTTGTGCTATAATGTATATTTAATATTATATAATATTACCTGACAAGTGGCAAGATAAGTGGCCGTACACGCAACCCATTTGTTAATTAACAATAGGCCTATTTAATACATTTTTGTTACCATAATAATTTGAACTCATATTAAAACATTTACAATGGAGAATTTTAAATCTAAATGTAAGGTATAATTAGAGATATAAAAGGATGCTTTTGTTATGGCACACAGGACTTTTAATTAAAATCTTTGTGTACGGTTAATATTTGATATTTTGGCTAAGCTCTATAGTTCCATAGGATGTAGTAATAGTTTATTTAACGTAAGTTTGGTAATTATTTTAAAGTGTTTTGCAGTTAATAATCTGAAAATTAGTAAACGCGACGACGGTCGTTAAGTGAGTAGCTTTATGTGACAGCCACGTGGGCGGCTATCATTTAACGATTTATTTATTGGAGTATCGATTCGTAAGAGATAAAATGAGGTAAAATTCTGCTTTAATATACTTTTGGTTTAATACATTGTTATTTAACTTACAGTTAATATGGTAAAAGAGATATAAACGTTTCGTAGTAGGAACATTATTTAATAGCGTTCCAAAAAGCATAACTTAAATTTATGTGAATTTGTTTAGTTGACTTTTTTTCAAGTTCAAAATTAGTTAAGCTTTTAAAATATAATTTATTATTAAATAATTGTTTTCATCAAAATTTGTTGTATGTAGTTATAATGAAAAATGTAAATTTTTGCTTAGTAATCTTTTCAATACTGGGTATAAATAAGTTGTACAGGGGAAAAATATGAAAATTACATTCTCAATGTACTTTTTAGTCGATGTTCATTAGTTTTCTTAAATATCTCTTTTAAAATTTAATTTAATAATATAAAACTTTTTTTTTTAATTAATGCAATATTTTTTTTTTTTTTTGACGACTGTGCTAAATCAATTTTTTTTTCAAATGCAAATTTGTTTTCTAGATTTTAAAAACGTTCCGGCCTTTACAGTTGGGATGATGTTTTGTTCAAGTGAAATCCTGGTACTACCTACGCCATCGACTCATTTCCGTTCTGGGCGTTTTCGGCACTGCTCTCAACACGTACATCCAGAGCTCACATCAACACATCAAGAGTTAAGTAAGCCAAATAAACAAGGTGGTTGCAAAATTGTGGACACCGCTTATGGACAATGTTTGTCACCGGTCAACATGTAAGTAGTCAAAACGTGACCTTCACGGGGTTGCAGCGCCGCGTGGAGTTAACGAAAATGTGTGCTTCCGCCATCGTTGCCGTCCGCGGGCAGTCAACATTTGCTATTCCGACCAGACGGTTCCCGTGAGCGCATCGTTCGCATAATATTGCTGATCATATACGTCTAGGTGTAGTCGGTTACCTTGTAATAATAACAATTATATCATTTGTTTGTTATCATTACTGCAATAGTATCGTTTTCGTGTCGCCTCGTTGCCGCCATCCCACCATCGTCCAAAGAGTACCGAAACAAACCGCTACAATATAAATTAAACCTATACATAAATTAAAATATATTAGTACCGGTGATGTAATCGTTTAATGGCAAGGCCGCAATTCACTGCGATGGTCAACGGTAAGTAAACACTCCAACTTAGTAATCATAAATTGGTTCAAGTATACCATTAAAATACATATTATCCACATATAAGACGGGTTACGACTGGTAAAATATATACTTACCGACGATACGTGTACATTATATCGTAAGTCTTGGGTTATAACTTATAAGTTTTATGATTCAAATCGTACGAGTAAGGTCAGTTCTCAAATAAATATCACATTCATTTTGGTAAACGTTATTGTTTAAAAACTTTATCGAGTCAATCTCGATTACTTTCCAGTTGCTTGAATTTATCTGTACCTTGGATCTAAAAGGAATAATCTCACTTTTTGAAACTTGTAACAATGAGCTTTGAAGTTTTTGTTTTCTCAAAGGCTCTGTATTTACTCTTTTGACACAATTCTTTATACTTTTTACCTAAAAATGCCATTTTTACGAATTATAAAAATATGTTTCATTTACATGTTTAGTTGTCTACTAACTAACTCATTAGTTGACCAACAATTGAACTTTAATCCATAGACTGAAAACTCCATGTCAAACTACAATCACAGTAATATATTATTATAGTATCATAATAAAATAATACTAGTTTTACTCGATGGGTCGCCCACTAGGCACATTGTAGACTTAAAATGTAATAATTTATTAATGATAAAATAAAAGTTCAATTACAGATAACTCCTTTAAAACACATTGACTTTAACTATGAAAACTTTTAAATAACTGCTCGTATACACTACAGCCACGTAGAAAAAAAAAGTGCACCTGACATCTCACCAAATACGATTAACGCTCATAATTTGTAACAAAATTGTTATTCATTATTAATAAAAATTGGTTATTAGTTAATTTTATGTCATACAAAGAATATTTTATATTATAACCGTAATTTTACATAATTTATGTGTATAAATTATTGTCTGGTAACTAATTTTATTCTAAATAATATAATTTATTCAAAATAATTACAAATTAATTGGATCCTTTACAAAAATGAAGTTGGATTATATTTTTTAAAAACATATGTTATCTTCAACCTTTCGGGCAACAGCCAATTAATTTAATACTATATAATGTATAATATTATAAGTTAGGCGTTTATAGTAATACTACATCGGTAATGCCTTAGCATTTTTTGCTTGATAAAACGTTTAAAACAAATATTATTGTTGTCGATAAAGGCGAGTGCTTGTCGGTAAACGAAAGTTTACCACTTCTAATTATTATTATATTATTATTTTAATATTACTGTTAAATCGGACAAAGCAAATAAGTTCTAACGTGCATGGTTGATTATAAACACTTGGGACCTAATCGACAAAGTAGCCCATATCAAAATGGAGTGCAGTAAATTATAATAAAAGACAACAGTTACGATTTCACCATGCTATTGCGCATTTAACGTGGAAAAAAGATGTTTTATTGTGGAATAATATTGACAAAATTACTTTTTTGCCATACATTTTTTTTTATGTGGTATTGTTTTTTGCTATTAGTTTATTTAACATGTTCACACTTAAAATTTTAAAAATATGTTTAATTGTAACATTAAAAATCATTAAATCATCAAAAAGGCATCCTCAAAAAAGGCTTTAATTTTGCCAACTGTTTATATTATGGGATAAATTTATCAAACCACGATTCGATAAACAAGTTTTTTTATTTATTTTAAATTGCAAATTTACATTTTTAGTTTTCAATGTTATCCATATTATATAGGTCGAAACAGTTAATTTTAAATATTTATTTAAATCTAATGTTGAACTCTGACAGCGGAAAACCATATAAAAGGCAGATTTTAACATTAATATAAATAATAATATAATAAAAAATCGTAAGTGTTTAATACAGATAATAGCGATTACGTTCATAACCATTGTACATTTAAAATTCTATTTAAAATATAATGAAATGTTTACGAATTTTATGTTTTATAGTACAGATGCTCGGTACTTTATATGATAATCTGTCGACCCCTTTTTATAACTTAGAAGTCTGCTATTTCCCAATGTCTAGGAATCACGAGATTTACCATATTCCCGCAGACAGATCCAATTTGTTAACCAATAAGCGCTTGTTAACCCTATACGGTTACTAAGTAGTAAAGTTGTAAATGATTCCTATAGTGACATTTTTTTTCCCGCCATAATTCACTTTTTTATTAAACTTTTATTGTTCCACGTTTTTATATTTTAGTATATGTTAACTTTAGTTATTACCTTACTCTATTGTATTTGTATTATTATCCTTTTGTTATATTAGTTGCTTTATATGTTGTATATTATACTTGTCATAAAAGCCGTTTCGCGTACATACTGTAATAAATTACAAGATTACCTACTAAACGCGTTTTAGTTTTTTTCCTAGCAGTTTCGATAATAATTGAAAATAAATATTTTATTCTCAGCTTAAACTAATTATATACTACCACCAATTTTAGCTGTGATGCAAAGCTGAAAATGTATTTACAATTATAATATGTTTGTCACTTAAAAAATAATAATATTCAAAACTGGTTTTCGACCGGTGTTTATTTTTAAGATTATTCTCGCATTAGTTAAATAATAATTTAAAAAAAGTATTATTTTATTAATATAAAGGCAATATTTGTGATATTAGTTTTTTTTTTGTTTTCCTCAATAAAAAAGAGGTTTTAAAAATTGTATATTATGTTATAAATGCATACGAGATCTATCTTAAGTCTGGTTTTCAGACCTTGACATTTCAAAACTATGCCTAATAAACGGGAAACCTAAACAAATTAAAATTTTTACCCTTTCGGGTGAAATAAAAAATGTATAACAACTTACAATTCAATTATCTTAAAAAGAGGAAATTTTGTTCTTTACTACGGCGATCGTATAACAAAGTACAAAAATAAAAACCTAGAAATAAATAGAATTTTCAGAGTATTTGGCTGTTTAATAATAATATTATTAAACAGTCAGTCACCGTGGTGACCATACTATATAGTATATACTATCGTCATAGTATCTAGTACAGAAACCGAGTACAATAACAATATGTAGTTTATGATCTAATAAGCGTATATTGATTATTATTATGACAGAATTGTTAACACTCGTAAAGCTAACCACAATGTTAATTAATAATAATGACTTAGCTTCCAGACAATCGCTTTAAATATGTGTATTCCTATTACAGATTTGATTACAATTAAATTTGATGATCATCCTACACATTTGATAATCTAATAAGGTCAAGGTCAGAATAGGTGAAAGTTATATTGGGATTTTTGAAATTTAATTTCGCTTATTAAGTTCGCTTAGTCTCGTTTATTCTCTTAATTGGTTGTTTATTATTTAATGGCATATTCGGATTATCATATCAAACTTTATACATGTATACATATTATACTTGAATACATTTAAAAAATAATGGTTTTTGCATATTGTATAGTCAAATACACTCAGACTGGTATAGTAAAAATGTATGTAATTTATTTTTTCTTAAAATAAACACATCTCTGATAAATAAAACAAAAAGATCTCTGATCGACATTCTTATTTTGTTTGTAATACGTTTGAAAACGATGAGAAATATAAGAAATATTGTGAAATTAAACGGATTTTTTATTGTGAGATCTCCTAGTACATGTTTATTTTTTTCTTCTTAATTAACATTTATTGAAACTATTTACAATCTATACTATATGTACAATGAGTAAATTTAAATAATACAATTAGAATTGGCAATGATAGGGCGGCGAGGAGGAGACTCACGGTAAAGCCACCCGTACAATAAGAAATTAAGTTAGTTATCGTTAAGCAAATCTCTTGACCAAATGCGTTTGAGACGTCTGTTGGATTGCCCGGTAGTGTTTTTGAATGCAGTTAAGTGATGAGACGGTTTGAATGTCATTGCCTTTTATAATGGAGTCTCAAGTAGAAGATAGCCTGGCACCTGTTAAAACTTATAATATATTTTCTTATATTTAGCAAAATTAATTCAATTAAACAAAATCTACTATGTATTCGTATAGTGCTTATTTTGGACTCTATGAAAATCATTGTTAATGATGTTGACTAATGACTACAAAAATCAATCGCCGAGGTTATAACCAAAAATTAACGTTCATTAAAGTAAAATTTGAAAATTGGAATAACGAATAACAAAACTATTAAACATTTGTTTTAAAAAACTGAATAACCGATTATTTACTTTCCGATTATTTAGAGCTGTTTAAAAGGTAAATAAATAAAATTAGTGTCGTTGTAATATAATACAAATAATTAGTTAAAAAATAATATTTTTTATTTCAATAGATTGATTATTGATTCGTGATTTTAACATAACATTACAATTAAATATATTATATTGATACTGAAAGTTTAATCTTTAAGTATTTGTTGAAAATATTGTTGTCCAAGAATATATTTTAACAAGCAAAATCCTTCTATATCTTAGTATCACTATTACTAAGATGTAATAAAATAGGTTGAACAAATTATAAACTTTAAGCAAATTAACATAATAATGTATTTTGACTAAAATAGGTATATGTAATATTGCTACCGTTAACTATGGTATTAATTGAAATTAGCTCAAAGCGTTGTTGTACTTGTAATATTAAAATATTTCCACCTAGTTGTAAAGCTTTACAACTAAACTACGATTAAATCTGTACTTTTTAAATGTATTCATCAAATAGGCGCTCTATCATGGCCACAAGCCGGTTGTTCTCTCGTTTAACTTACTTCACTACTTTTTTTTCACTACCAAGCACACAATCCTTAGGCCATATAAGCAAATAGCAATGAGCTTTCTAATCGGTCTAATCGGTGTACACAGTCTTTGTAACCGCCATTATATTAATTGTCTTTGCTTTAGTGTAGTTTCATATCAGGTGTCTGTTGTGGACTTCTGTGTAATTAGGTCACTTATTAATTTAACAAATTACAAAACGTTATGATCCATCAAAATATGTCTACAAACAGGTATAGTTTCTCTTATTACAGCCGAATCCCTCGATTATTTTACGCACAATG